CTGTACAAACACTGCTAATTCAAATCATTTGGACCAGAACATGATTAACAAATGCGCAAAACCATTGTGTAACTGATTTTTCAAAAACACTTCAATTGTATAATTGCGCTCAAACACACTCTTTCTCCCTCTTTTTCTTTAGTTGTGAATGTTAAGAACAGTATTTTTTTATAATTGTGAATGTTGCTTGTAAATATTTGTTGTTTATTTCATGAATGACTGAACAGTTGCACTGTAGCTCTAACACGCTGTGATTCCTTTTTTATGTTTTTATTTCATTTGCAAAATCACTACTGAAAAATCACTACTGATAATATTTTGACTGGAATGAATATCGAGATTACAGCCACGCGTACCTTCGGAAAGCAGAAACAAAAGTGAGGAAGGTCAGCTGTGTTTCATGGACTTTATCAAAAGGGTCATTTACCTTTCTTCTCATGTTCATGTGAAGTTAATCGTCATTTTCAGGTACTGTAAGTTTGATTATGTTCGAACCCTGATTAAGTGATACTAATGAGATTAATCAGATGCTAGATTTGGATTCTAGACTCCAAGATTGTTTTTCTCTGTCAGAATTCAGAGTCTGTGTGGGTTTGTGCTTGTAAAGATAGGAAAACACAATTGAGATGTTCTCATTGCTGATTACCAATGTTCTTGCATTCTATTCCTCATAAATATGCTAAATGCATATGGTCCTAACTGCAAATCTGGAATTCAGAATCAGAATCTGTATTCTGTCCATAAGAGAAAATGTCAGGTCTGGACATCTGGAATCCCAAACAAGAGGTCAGGATGTTATTTATATAGAGCAGAAGGCCAGTGGTGGAGGTCTCCTCTGAATTTGTTTACATATGAGATTAAGATTACACATAATTAAAATGATGATGAAGTTATAAAACAGTGAAAACACTTGTGTTGCGTCTCATTTTTGTGAAGGTTTGTGTGTGATTCACTTGCTGCAGTAGTTTTGGCACTCTTCCTCTCAATGTCTGTGGCCATTTGTCTCTTGTTTCGTGCGGATATATTATTTTCCTCAACACAGACTGATAGAGGCATGGGAAACATACAGAAACCTTTTAGAAACCACAACTCCCCTGAGCCAGGCAGAGAGAGAGATTTGTCAGCAGTAATGGAAGAGAAAGAGCAGAGTTCTGGGGACACACACAGATAGAGAGAGGTTCAGTCTTCTGGAGGTGAGTCAGAGATTGACCACAAAAAAGTCTGCAAGCAGAGATCTGAGAATGAGACCTCTGTGAAACAGACCTGATTCATAATAGGCACACACAAGGTTGTATACGTCTCCTCTCTTGTGCTAATTCTAGGTATGTTTAGTTCAAGTTAGTGTGCTTAATTGCATAAGAAAAACTACAAATAGTATGTGGCTTAGGTAAAGTAAAATTACCAATAGTCCAATTGTTAAGAAACAATTTAAACAGCAAATTAAATTAAAGTATTCTGCAGAGCTATCCGGGAAGATGACATATATTCTCTGAAAAAGGAAGTCATGAAAATGAATTTAAAAAGAGTAATTCGTTTTTTGTTTTTTTTTTGTCATTAAGAGAAGACTTATTTCTCTTGTTTTATTGGCATAACTGAATAGTGAAAATGGTGCAAAATAATAACAAGTAAAAATCTTAATGTAAATGGAGGAAACAGGTAATATTAATAAATTAACATTTATTAAATTTAAAATGTAAATAAAATGACAATTACACATCTCTACAATTAATTGTGAATGTGAATCAATAATGCAGAAATAACTAAGAAAAATTATTTTACATATATAATGCAAAACTAAGGGTAACCTCTACAATTAATTGTGAATGTGAATCAATAATGCAGAAATAACTAAGAAAAATTATTTTACATATATAATGCAAAACTAAGGGGGGGAAATAAGAAAGTAACGTCAATTTTTAATTTATAACTACGGTAAAAGAAAAAAAAAATACTGTTACTAAATTACTAAAACTACACTAAATTTTGCAAAGTTGTAAATAAAACATTGAAGATTTACAAGAAAATACTATTTCATTTTTTTCTACTAAAAATATCCTGTTTAATGTGTTACTAGTGCTTTCTTTGTAATTGTGAAAACTTAAAAAAAAAAATCTTTATATTGCCATTGCATTTCAAAATAAGTAATATAAAACAAGATGAAAGGATAAAAATGAAAATGATACTTTATTCCAATAATACATTAAAAGTGCAAGGATAAGAAACGGTGCCAAGGCAGATTAATTTGTTTAAATTCTATTCTAATCTAATATGCTTTTAAACAATAAGCCAAGGCATTTGCAGTCTGCAGTGATTTAAAATATATGCATTAAATGTATATAATATATGAATAATGCATTAAATGAAGTAATATCAAAAGTCGTTAAAACAGTCCAATAAACTTAATCACTAAGAAAATATACATTAATTTTAATAAAAGCATTTACTCTTAAAATATGTAAATGAAAATAAAGCTGAATTATAAACAAATATTTCGTTCAGTGATAAGAAACTCTCTTTTTCTCTGTTGTGTCTCAGGGGAGAGAGTGAGTTCCCAATGGAATCAACCCGATCTGAGATTACTGAGCTTGCACAAACACACAAGAGGCTTTTATCCTCCTAACGTATAACAGGATTCATCCTTAAAGATGAGCCCTGTGACCTTATGCACACACACACACACACACACGGAGTCTATGTCACGCCTGTTAAGTGCATACACTCACACTATCAGATCTGCAAATCTCCTCTCGGCTCTCAGCGTGAACAGCAATAAGCAGCTGTAAGAAGGATAGAGGGAGATCTGGCAAGAAAGGATGAGAAGAGAGAGGAGATGAGAATGAAAAGATAAGATGAACTGATGAGGAAGGAGTATAAGTAGCTTTTGCACTGTCCACTTTAAAACAAACAATTAATTTAGACCATCTAATCCTCCCACACACACACACACACACACAGTTCAGATGTCAGAAAACTTACATGAGTTAAATTCAAAATGCTAAATTAGAGTGATGGACAATGCAAAGAAGTTGTAAATGTTTTTTTAAAAAGGTTTTTTTTATGTGATTTTGTATATAACTATACTGTACCCATAATGTCAGAGGTCTCATGACCTACAGTCCTCTACAGCTAAAAGCATAACATTCAACTCAATTAACAGCATGAATTATTGATGTCTGTCTGGACCAGAATTTGTGTGTACACTGGAATTAAAAGCCTCCGGTGTGACCTGTCACACTGCAGTGCAGGGTTGACGTATAATCTCGGACAAGGACAGACAGCACAGACTCGAACTTAAATGCAAGGGATAATTAACAAACACAGGTGTACTGAATGACTAATTAACTGGGAAGCGGAACACATGGGGAAGGAACTGGGTCACAGAGCACAGCAAACAGTCCAGGGCCGTGACAAATATATGTCATGCCATCTGCAGGAGTTGATTCTTTCATGCGCCTTTTTTTCTTTATTACCATATACATACGTGTGTGTGTGTGTGTGTGTGTGTGTGTGTGTGTGTGTGTAGACAGACAGACAGAAAGATATGAAATCATCTTTCATCTCTTAATTCATTTCACCTTTAGTGAAAATGCTGCTTTAGTTTGAGTTCCAAGTTTTACCAGATTTTTAGAGAAACTGAGAACAATTTGCATGCTGTTTTATTGTTAAGGTATTTATATAAAATAATTATGTGTTAATGTGTATTAAATTGTATTAAAATGTGATTTTGTTTTGATGTGAGACAAATATATAATAAACATTTAGGGTCTTATAAAGCTTAAATGTTATATATTATAATATTATATTACATTATATTTTCATCTTATTTTTTGGGGGGGGGCAAGTTAAATGTAACAATAAAACAAGTAATTCTATATTTTATTGTTTTACATACATTTTTATATTGGTTATAATGTAGGCTACTGTATTACATCAAGTAATTTATATAGTTAGCTAATTTTACCTAGCTAAATGTTAGCTAAGATCGCTCTCTCTCTCTCTCTCTCTCTCCTTGTGTGTTAAACCAGGCAAAATCACATCCAATACAAAACATCCTCCTCAAAAAGGAAAGCTTGGATATCACCTATGTCAGTTTGGATTGGGAGAGAGAGGTAGAGCGAAGGAGAGATCAGGGAGGATCTCAGTAATACAGTAAATGCGAGAAAGGGATAGAGGTAAAGATAAATAGAGAGTGGGAGGTTACAGGTGTCTTTCTTCTGATCATTCCTCAAGAAAAGCGCATCTCCAGTGAACAGGTAACAGCTCTCTTTAACAGGATCTTACATATGATCTTACAAATGATTAATTAGGTCTGTAGTTCCCATTATACTGTTTGAGTTTTAGTGCAGTTTTTGTTGGTAGCAGTCATTAATTAGGCCTATAGATACCTTGATTTAACCAAATTTAAATTTAGAATTTTTAACAGATTTTCCTCTTTTTAATTTTTTTTTATATTAGTGCTTATTTAGTGATTTCATATCATATTTTTGTTTTAAAGTATAGTAGTATAATGTTTTAAAGAAATAATTTACAATGTCTAAATAAAAATTTTTAAATAATTTGATTTTAATATTTATTTAAAAACGGAACAAACGGTCATAGAAGTATAGGCTAAAAGTTTTGACGCATTTGATGGACACGTAGCCTACAATAGCTCATTCTCAAAATTATTTATTTATTTTTACATTCTGAAATCTTTGAAAGTCTGACATTATCGGCCGCATACAAAATATGTAACAAAACAACAGATCGAATGACACTGAAAAGCATCTCATAGGTCAATAATCTAATTTTTTTTTTTGCAATATTTAGCCAAACCCGCGAAAACAGTCCTGCAGTGACAAAAACTGAAACTCTGCTGGAAGTAATGAGATTCCAAACAATCGAATTGCTTCTTATTTTTACGCAATGATTTAACTGAACTCAGGGAATAAAGAAGCATCATTGTTTATTCTCTGAGTTCAGATGATGAAGAAGATGATGAAGATATTAATATCTTACAGATGGAGTGTAATTGTAATTCCTCTCTGGGTCCTTTTCCCTCGACTTACTGGAGCAGAAGTAAGTGAATGTGTGTGTGTGTGTGTGTTTTTGAGCAGTGCACAGCCGGTTTTGATTGTTAAACATTACTAATTCCATATATTAAATTGCATAACTGCATTGTTTCTTAACTATATTGCATACATATCACTTGCTCTATCATTTGACCTAGAAACGCATGCTGAGAAATGCACCAAAGCAAAAAGTATATGCATATAATAAGAAACAAGTCTGGTTTGGAGAACGAAAATATTTGATTAAATTTAACTACAGAATTAATCCGTTATCATGACAAAAAATAAATAAAAAATTCACCAACCGTCTTATGAAAGGATATTTGCCAAATTACAGCCTACTTTAAAACTAAAGGAGATCACATTAACGTTTTTGGTGAACAGTAGGCGTATTATAGGATATGATTCTGAATTGTTTATTTTGGTTGGTTGGCTGAGTGCAAGAAAATAACAGGCTAGGCTACTGAATGTCCAGAAACATCCTTGCACACGATGTGCGGGAAAATATAGGTTACAGTTCGAAACATTTTGGATTGGAAGCTTTGGTGTGTCATTCCCGTCAAACATTTTGACTGACTTCTTCCTTTTAAGCAGCGCTAATTAAGCTTGCATTCTTGTTTCACCTCAGCAGTGCTGTTCCCTGATTGGGCGTATAAACCAGCGTGGTCTCCAGGCTCGCGGCAGGTGCAGTTATGGCACTTCCTGTTGGATCTGTTGGGGCGTGGCGAAGGCGGAGCGATCACGTGGGGCAGCGAATGGGGAGAGTTTGTGATCAGAGACCCAGAGAGATTGGCTAAACTGTGGGGGGAGAGGAAGGGCAAACCGCACATGAATTACGACAAACTCAGCAGAGCTTTAAGGTACCTTCATACATACAAAAATTAAGCTATAATAATATTGATATATTATTTAAAGAATAATGTATTATAGTATTGTAAGTTTACATAACTGTTACACTTCTATGACATTTTATGATATTTTATCAGTTGACTAATACCTAGTTTGACATCTGTTTTTTCTCTCTCAGGTATTATTATAATAAGCAAATTTTGCACAAGACCAAAGGGAAACGTTTCACCTACAAGTTTAACTTCAGTAAACTAATCTTAGTGAATTACCCAAGTCTTCCAACCTGCCCACAGGTGCGTGTTTTAAATGTCTTATTGCACAATTGCAATTTTTTTATCTTATTCTTTTTCAGAATCCAACATCTGTCCCTTTTTCTGTTTTTCCTTCTCAGCTTTCCTTCTACAACCCTTCTATTGACAGGGGTAAGAGTGTCACTGCTGACCTTTGAACAATGAAATATTGCTTATTTGAAATGTCATCACTGATTTAGGCAAATAGCACTGAAAATTTGATTCAGTTTTTAACATTGCCATTATTTTTCTCTATGCTTGTGTTTGTTTGTGTGTGTGTGTGTGTGTGTGTGGACAGCTGTGCAATCAATTTCTCATCCCTTTCTGCTGCCCTATACCTACCCCAAACCCCTCCCCTTTCCCCAGACACATCCAATCCGAAGGCAGCTTCCCCTTTTTTATGGCCCGCCTCCCTCAGGGACTAACCTATCAGACCTCTCCTGCCTGTCACCAGTCAACTCCACCCTTCAGTTCACCCGAACTTTAAACTGGCCAGTCAAAAGCAGCACAGAGTGGCCTCTCAACAGGGTCTTGGGATTACAAGAGAGGAGTGGAGCGCAAGACAAAAGCCATGACAACCAAGAAGACAGAAAAATATTTCCTGAGACCATGCACTAGAAGTTTTAGTATTACTGGTTTTATTATAATTATCATAAATTTTTTGTTGTAAATTAATAAACCATATTGGCAGGTTGAGAACAAAGCACTTTATATATTTGACACTGTTAACAAGAGAACATGTGAGAACCAAACCCCTCCCCTTTCCCCAGACACATCCAATCCGAAGGCAGCTTCCCCTTTTTTATGGCCCGCCTCCCTCAGGGACTAACCTATCAGACCTCTCCTGCCTGTCACCAGTCAACTCCACCCTTCAGTTCACCCGAACTTTAAACTGGCCAGTCAAAAGCAGCACAGAGTGGCCTCTCAACAGGGTCTTGGGATTACAAGAGAGGAGTGGAGCGCAAGACAAAAGCCATGACAACCAAGAAGACAGAAAAATATTTCCTGAGACCATGCACTAGAAGTTTTAGTATTACTGGTTTTATTATAATTATCATCATTTTTTTGTTGTAAATTAATAAACCATATTGGCAGGTTGAGAACAAAACACTTTATATATTTGATACTGTTAACAAGAGAACATGTGAGAACGTGTATAAATAGATTTTACAGTAATTTATCTGCAAAAATATATGTGATGATAACACATTGTTAACAATGTTTTTCTTTTTGCATTTAACATTTTGTTGCATCAAATAAGTTTGGCACTTACTGGATGATTAAACATTTTGCAGTTTGACTATTTAAATGCTGATAAAGCAAGCTCATTGGTTGCAGAATCATGAGGCCAATCAGCTTGATCCATATAGTAAATGATGTAGTGACAACCTTTAATTTAGTTTTTACATTTTAGGTCACTTTTATAGTGTGTGTTGATACTTTGGAAATATTTTATAGAAAGTACTGAAAGTACCATCAGGAAAGAACTTTGAAATAAAATTTAAAAAAAACAACAAAAAAAACACTTAAATAAAAGTCTATAATAGTCTATAATAATGCTGAACCTGGAAAATGATTGTAAATATACAACATCGCTCAACACTTATGACTGAAACTGAAATGTCAGGTATTTGCAGTCCACTATTTCAAATCATAGATAAAATCTTTAAAATTAAAATGAGAGGCCTACAACTAATTTGACATCAATGCCTAAACAGACAGAATAGCCACCCAATTCTTCAGGGAAGTCTAAAGTTAATTTATTCATTTTGCATTACAGAACTAATTTATTTTGCAAGACAGACTCTAAATATTCATTGTAAAGCATTGCAAAACTAACCTTAAAGCTATGGCAGACACAAAGGTGCAGTACCTTCCTGCAATGTATGTTAGAGCTATTGGGCTGTGACGATAGTGGATATGGAGTTGAATTTGTGATCAGAGATCCAGAGATATTGGCTCAACTGTGTCAGAAGAAGAAGGTCAATACAGCAAACTCAGCTGCCATCTTTTTACTTTTTACTAAGACAAATAAATTATCATTAACTGAATTATTATGGGTTATTTTATTTGCTGACATTATGAAATCATTGTTAAAAAATACTTAACAGGGTGGACAAAATTACAATAGTCTGAACTGGGTTTTAATATGAAATAATATATAAAACATTCTTTAAGAAATTTAAGTTCCTTCAGCTTAAACATAAGTTACTTTTACTACTGTGTATACTCTCACTGTCCGCTCATAAGACTTCAGATTATACATCAAAAGCTATTTATAATTTTTTTTTCGCAATTTATTGAGGAATTATAGCAGTGAAAGTGACGTGAGGCCAAGTATGGTGACCCATACTAGGAATTAGTGCTCTGCATTTAACCCATCCAAAGTGCACACACACAGCAGTGAACACACACACCGTGAACACACACCCGGAGCAGTGGGCAGCCATTTTTTGCTGCGGCGCCCGGGGAGCAGCTGGGGGTTCAGTGCCTTGCTCAAGGGCACCTCAGTCGTGGTATTGAAGGTGGGAGAGAGTGCTGTACATTCACTCCCCCCACCTACAATCCCTGCCGGTACGAGACTCGAACCCGCAACCTTTGGGTTACGAGTCCGACTCTCTAACCATTAGGCCACGACTTCCCCTCTTACTTAGGCCACGTTAATGCCCAGGGTGGGCATTAACAAAGTAAATGTTATGACCTAAAGTTAGTCATTGCACCATGTCACAAAAACTAAGCCAAACATTGAAGGTTTCTCAAATAAAAAATTATATATTTCCCATAACAGAGTGTACATATTTAAGTTCACCATATCAGAAAGAAAAAAATAAAAATAGACAGTTAATATGACTAATATGACTCACGTTACCGGGGTGTTTTCCCTTCAAGGAAGTGATTTAGATTTATGATTCAATTAACATTTCATTTTGCCAGCTTTCATTTAAAAGGACAGTAGTCCAAATAACTGGGTGGACAATAACTTGAGGTTCACACTAAAAAGCCTTATTATAATCTTTAAAATATATTTATTAATTGAAAAAAAAAATCTATCTAACAAAAATTTGATTACATACCCAACAATGCAAAAAAAAAAAAACTCTTTAGTGTTATTTATCATGAAAATGGGATACACAAGCATGGGGACATAGGAAAACAGGTGGTATTTGGTGGTTTAAAATGCTATAAAGCGTTTAGATTTGTTATCAACTTCAATCATCTTAAATTTCAAATGTTTTTTATGACTAAGACAGCTTTAAAATTTATACTGTTCAGCATTTTAAAGTAGTAAGATCATGATCTTTACTGGGGACACCAAAGACACCAAATACCAGGAATACCAAGATACAAATATCATATGATTTCTGTATGATTTCAGGCCCTGTAGTCTTTTACTCCCATTCTGACAAAGGACAGGGCCTCCTGAACTCTTGTCCAAACTCACAGATCCATTTATTAGCCACTGAAAAAACAGCAAAAAGAATTTCCCCATTAACATTCAACTTTCAATCATCCATATCGCTTTCTTTTTCAAATTATCTTTGTCTAAATTGTTTTTCTTCTTAAATAAAAAATAATTTGTAAAAACAATTAAAATAATTTGTATTTTGATAAAGTTACATACAGAATAATGTCTTACTGTATGTCTTACAAAGAGAGAGAGAGAGAGAGAACTGAGGATAGACAGTTAAAGTCTAATTAATTCCAAAGTAAGATTTTAGATTTATCTTCTAAATGTATTTAAAAACCTACCCCATTTGTTACCCCGTAAAACAGGGCATCCAGCATGTTTTGTATCCAAATCCCATTGTCCATTCCTGTGGAGGTTGTACCAAAACACAGCTGAACCCTGCAAGAGTAGAGAGAGGATACTAAAATGATTGTTCTTAAATGCTCCTTGTATACTGTATATAATATGAATGAATTAAAGGTTTACCTTTTTTGGCTGCACTGCAACTCCAACTTCAGTGAACACAGTGGCGCCCCCTATATCCACATTACTCATCTACAGGAAGAGCACATCATTTATAAGGATTGTTTCACACAGGTAATATTTATAGCTATAGAAATGGTGTGAAAGACCACTGAGGCAAATAGAGGCTTACATAAAATAGGAATGTTGCAATCCTGTCATTCCATATGTTCTGTGAGGTCAAACATTCTTACGTTAGTTTGCAGTTATGATTGGTCAACATGTAATCCAATCTCAATAACAGAGAACACAGATGTTAAATTTGTACTCTTAAAGTCTGCAATTGAATTTGTGAGCCATTGGTCCCCCCCAAAGATACCTGATACCTCTGAGTATGTATTGAAGACCTCTGAGTCCTCTTAATGTACCTCTTAGTATGTATTGAATGAAATAAATGAATAAAATGAAATAAAAGTATTCTGAGTATGCTGGAAGATACTTTCACATTTTGTTAATTGTAACTCATAAATTATAAACAGTTAAACCTCAAATGTGAATTGTGAAAGAAAAAATGTGTGATTTAAAAATGCATGTTGCTAACCAGTTGTAGCATAAGAGCTACAGTGGTTGTCCAATAATATGGCTTATATGTGTTTCCAGTGAGACATGTTACTCACATCCTTGTTTTGCACACACAGTAAGTTGGCATTATTGTAGGAGTTATTTTCAAACATTGATACAAGCCCATAACAGCAATAAAAGATGAACTAAAAAAAATTGCCTGAAAAAAAGCCTGCTCTATCCCCCAGTGTCTAGGTGACCTTTAAATTTAGAAGTAGATTTAATAATTACGTTATTTATTCAATAATTACTCATAAATCCAACCATTCAAATAAATAAATGAATAAAAACCCATGATGAATTCTGTGTTGGTCAACAAATTAATGTCATGCCTGTATTGCAGTAAAGTGAACTTACCAATGCATCATAATGTGGTTCATATCTGCCACCAATTCCATAATTCTGAACCTGGAAAATTATTGCATCACTATTGAATTGGAAATTTCCAGGTGAAATTGAACTGTTAACACTCTAATATTTTACAAAATACATGTTTAATAAGAACTCAAGTGTAATAATTTAGGTGAATATAAATTAATTAAATAAAAAAATGATATCAACCCTCCCAAGCTTATTGTATGCCACTCCTTGGCAACAGACAAGTAGAAAGCATAGCAAACGGATGTTACCTGCACAGTTTGAGGCTGCTTTCTTTCTTTATTTGCTTGTTTATTTATTAGGTAATGTGCAAAGTATGACCAAGTAATCTTCAAGACACAGCTGGCAGTAAAGAAAACATACGCTGCCTGTGCATGATCATATTTCGTTCTCGTAACATGACTTACATGCAGTGGTTCAGCTGTTTCCATGGAGAGTCCAGTAGCGTCTGCAATCCTCTGACTGACACGAGTATCCACAGGGGAATGTTCTAGAGAAACACTGAAAATGCAGTGATGATTTTTCTTTGCATAATAAGTGTGTGACCAACATTTTTTGGTACTCAAAGAAAAATAATTTACTTAATATCTTGTCAGGTTATGACAATTTTAATTTTGGGAGAACTATCCCTTTAATGAGGAGATCTTATAAAATATTTATTAAACCTTTGAGAAACACGGCCTTGTGAGACTGCACCTCGTCCATCTTGGAAAACCTCAGATCTAGAAAGCTAGGTCACAAATAGGAATAAACAGTCAAATACAAAATTATGTAGTGTAAATTGCTAAAAGTATGTGAACACCCAGATGCCACATTTAATTTAAAAATCATTAGCATTAGCCACAGCTTCCACTCTTGTGGAAAGGTCTTCCTCTAGATTAGCTCCCATTCAGACACAAGAGCATCAGTGAGACAGGCACTGATTTTGGATGACTTTGGGCAGGCAGTTAGGGCTCCAATTTATCTCTAAAGGTGTTCCGTGGGGTTCAAGTCTGGGCTTTGTGTAGGCCAATCAAGCTCTGCCATACAAAAAGCACTGAAACATTTCTATGAACCTCAAATGGACCGAAAAAGGGCCATTCCATGTGTGGGGAGCATACAATTCTCTACAATAGACATTTAAATTAGTAAATTTTAAGTTTACATTTAAAGAAATTGACATTAATTAGATTGCCACACATAGGCTGCCAAAATGATAGGCTGAGGAGAATGTAACAACTCTTCCTCAGTGGTATTTGAGTGTTTTACCAAAACCGGAGAATAAATACTAAATTAAGTATTTTTTCCTGATATTTTACACATATTTGTGAAAATATATACATATAAACATATATAATCACCCCATTACCTAAATTCATTACTTCAGAGTTATGTGCCCTCTAGAGGCTTGCGTTCTGCAAATGAACGACGCATTATTGTACCATCTCAAAGAGGCACAAAATCACTTTCACGGACTTTTAAATAAAATGTTCCCTCCTGGTGGAATGACCTGCCCAACTCAATCCGAGCAGCTGAGTCCTTAGCCACCTTCAAGAATCGGCTAAAATTCTATTCTATCTGTTTTCTTTTTATTTGTTATATAATTTAAAAAAAACCTTGCTACGTGTACTGCATTAAGCTAACTGAGACTTGTTATATAGCACTTGTATATCATTGCTCTTTTGTTGATATTGATTGCTTCCATTGTCCTCATTTGTAAGTCGCTTTGGATAAAAGCGTCTGCTAAATTACTAAATGTAAATGTGAATGTAAATATATTTATACATGAAAATAAATAACTTCCTCTATATTTTAGGAGGGGGCATCATATCAAAAGTGTGAATGTAAGTATGTCATGTATCACGTAAGTCAGCATCAAGACTTGTCTTCACTGAAATTAAAGATGTCCACATACTTTTGCCCATTGAATAGTACATTAAAAACATCATCAACAATAAAAAAAAAACATTTTGAATATTCTGACAATAATAACAACAACAATTAAATATGTTAGTGTTACTTTATGTATGTGTGTTAGATATTCACTAGAGGTCTGGAGATATTCTTCAGGATCTCTATCTCTCGATCTGAAATAATGTCGTGATATCTGATGATGCCAGGCTCGTCCCACTCCACTTCCTCTTTCACTGGTGCGTAAATTAGTCTGGGGTTTCCTCCACCTGTGCTGTACCTACAGGACAGCGCCCTCTGCCTCTTGGAGGTCTGATTTTATCAAATATAATAACATCCAATCAACACACAAAGATTTGCATTGACTGTTTGTAATTTCATGTCAAATACTGATTTAAATTTGAGACTTTGCACTTGCCCTCTCATCAACCTCTCCTCTGCACAGTGCCTCATATTTACTTGACTCTGCATTCAATGTGAATATGTCAGGATTTGAAGTTCTCAGGAAGTGATGGAGTCTATTCAGCTGAAGTCTGACTTTATCATTAGTTGGATCTGAGGCAAAAACGTTTGTCTTGAATCACAACAATTTGATAAAACTGTCTGGCAACCACAAATATAACAATGTTAGTATTAAACTTCAGGACACCATGAGCTCACCCAGATTTAGAGGATGCTGGTAGAAGAAGGTTTGAGGTAGACTGCCAAAATAATAGGCTGAGAAACTAAGGTAGTGAAGCAGTTCTTCCTCCATAGTGCTTGAGTATGCTGTTAATCTATTCAAACTATGCAGAAACCAGAGAAAAGCATGCTGAAATTTGTCCTCGTTATAAGCAACCAACCCCACATGGTAAGCTTCATCCGCATTTAGAGACGTTTCTGTGAAATCAAAACAGATTGAAGCTGATTTTTGAAAGAAATAAAAAGTGAAAATCTCTCTGTGAAACTGCATCTGCAGATATCTCACCACTTGTGATGTCTTCTGGGTAGAGTCTGTAGATCTCTTGCAGTCTGATCAGTCCTGAAGCTGCACCATTCAAATCCTCCCACTGTGGGATCTTTGTCTTCAACTCATCATGATACTCTTTACACTGACGACTCGGATGGATGTGTTCTACAATATGTATCAAATCATTTCTCAGTTGTCTGAGGAGTTTGTAAGCTGCCACAGGGTCTCTCATGATTTCTTCAGGGTCCTCAGAGTCAGAGTATAAAAGCAGAAGATTCTGAAGAGCACTGGATTGAAGACAGGGGTTCATCGAAAGTTGTATTGTTAAAAAAAAAATAATAGCATAATCTTTGTTCTGAAAACACATAAAAGATTGTAAACATCTACTGTTGTAAAATGGAATACTTTTTAATAATAATAAATACCCATTAATCTGGGAGATTAATGGTATAGGTAATAATGAAAATGTTTTCACCTCTTCATCTCCACATAATTTTCTTCAGCAGCAATGCACTGACTGAAGCTCATCAGAAGGTTGTTCTTCTTCTCAAAAAGCTGTGCAATTTGATCTATAAAACAATCTACACTTAACTGTCATGGAGCATTTATTATGTATTAATACATTTACATCATTAATTTTGATGAAAAAGGTATGATGAAAAAGGGTTATTAAAAAAGAAAACAAAGAGAGAGTTAATATAGTCGGATTAAAAATTTCGCAACAAAAACTGTGCTATGCTACTTGTTTACTCAAAAGTCTCACAAATGTATACATACAGTCAACTTGTCATCCCAGGTGAAAAAGACGTAGTATTAAATGTATTAAAAATATACTTGAAATTAAAGTAGTATGTTTATAATACATTTATATTCCCAACATGCTTATTTCGATTTCAGCACGTCTCCACACAGTAAACAAAACAAGCATTTCCTAGCAACGACAACTGCGCTAAACACTGAAACAAGAAATAAATACACTTACAGTCTGCTTTTAACTTCTGCTGATTGACAATATACATATATATATTACAAATAGATTAAAATCAAACTTAAGCATATCTTGAAATACACTTAATATACTTAAAGTTGTTTCAAAATAATACATTTAATATGCACTTAGTATAGTATAATTTAAATATATTAAGTATGTCTGAAAAAGCACAATTTAAATATATTTATTTTTCACCTGGGATGGCAACAGTGTAAAAACATTAGTTAGATATATATGGATGTAACACTATAACAATTTAAAAAACTAATATCAAATTGAATAATAACCTGTTGATGAGAAGAATTCATGCCCAGCAGTACAGACGGTCCAAAAACACACCACAAATGTCAGTTCCTTTATGGCCATTATCAGATTCTTTAATACCTTAAAACGCAACTTGTGTATGTGTATCTTGAAGTGAAACTGAGCTTAAATGCAGGTCATTTATTTGTATCTTTTCAGCGACACACCTGTATCTGCCCACAGTTTCTTAGTAATCCAATTGTCTGAGATCAAAAACAAAAGTGAAACTTTACATTAATGAGCTCTCATGTACACTATATTGCCAAAAGTATTGGGACACCCCCTTCTAATGAACAGGTTTGACTACTCTAGTCATTTCCACGATTACAAATCTTAACGTTTAAGCATATAATGATATTCTAGGGAATTGTGTGCTTCTAATTTTATAACAACAGTTTGGACAGGACCCTTTTATATTCTAACATGACAATGCCTCTGTGTATAAGGCAAGGTTAAAAAAGAAATGATTGATTCAGTCATTGTGGAAGAACTTGACTGGTCTGCAGAAAGCCATGTCCTAATCATATAGCTGAACACCTCTGGTGTGACTTTAAATGCAGACCTTGAGCCAAAAACTCATTACCAAACACCAATGACTTGTACATACACTATATGGACAAAAGTATTGGGACATCCTCTTCTTTAGAACAGAAAAAGGCATGTCCAAAACTGTGGCAACAAAGATGGAAACATAATTTATTTATTTAAAAATTGTATTTCCATCTCTAAATGTCTAAAATGTCTAAAATGACTGTACCCATATGTACAAGTCACTGGTGTTTGGTGAGGAGTTTTTGGCTCAAGGTCTGCATTTAAAGTCACACTAGCGGTGCTCAGATTAGGACTTTGCTTTCTGCAGACCAGTCAAGTTCAATCATTTACTTTTTAACCTTGCCTTATACACAGAGGCATTGTCATGTTAGAATAGAAAAGGGTCCTGTCCAAACGGTTGCTATAAAACTAGAAGCACACAATTCCCTAGAATATCATTATATGCTTAAACATTAAGATTTGTACTCATGGGAATGACTAAAGTAGTCAAACCTGTTCATTAGAAGGGGGTGTCCCAATACTTTTGGCAATATAGTGTATCAGCAGGATGGTTGTGGGAACAAGGAGGCAGGATCTAATCAAAGCTGTGATTTTTACTATCAAATAAAAAGAAACACCTATGAGCACTGGAGAACAAAGTCTTCGCAATCTAACAACAACCACAGCAAACCAACATAGCACAGACAAGAACAAACAACTTCAACTGAAAACCGAGGGCTATAAATACACATTTGTTAATCAGTTAACAAATGAGTAACTATGTAACCAAACAGGGGTATGATAGTAACTAAGACAACCAAAGAAACAGGAACTAATCGAAGATGAAACACAGGGAACAAAGGAGGCAAAAATACATAATCAACATAAAGGTCCTCAAAACAGAACATAAATGTGACATCATGACAGTCATGACATTTCACAATATACTTTTGTTCCTTCTATGATTTAGCTACCCATATAATTTCATGTAGCACAATTGGAGATAACAAAGGGTATAATCATGATAGAAATGCAGAGACATCCTATATTATAAGCTATTGTATTATCAAGGCCTGTTCTAATGTTGTCTAACAACGGGTCAAACTTTACTTGCATAGTGTTTTTTTTGTTGTATTGTTGCAGGATGCTGCATCAACAATCACACCTGTGTAACATGGAAATCTTATCTATGACTAATGCAGAAATTAAAGTAAAATGAAAGGTTACTTCATTATATTTTCTGTGTGTTACTGAGCCCAGGTTTAATAATGATTAGATGCAGTCACTGTTTGTATTAGATTATACTCAGTTCCTAAAAGTTTGTCCTAAAAATTCTTAGTTATCATATGATAACTGCTTGACTTTGAATTGATCAAATATTGATACATCTAATCACAGTTACTATACACATGATATTTTAACAATATATTTATAGTTACAATTTCTGCGTGCAGCATAAATGAATATGCTATAGAATGAATTTCATATGACTTACATATTATTAGCGAATATTATTATGATAAAAGTTTCACAGGTCCTGTTATTTCACATGCCTTTTATTCATTTTTGTTTGCTTCTTTGAAAAGCTTTCAAGGAGAGTAAATTATACAAGGCATCCAAGTGAAATGAACACTGCTGAACCTGAGAGCTGTTAGTTGCACGTGTTTGAAAGATCAAGAAGAACCATCTGCTCTGCGTCTCAACACAGATTCTGAGCACAACTTCTGAGTTTTCAAACGGTTATTGTTCTGCAAGTCCATAAGTGGAGTACATACTGTTTACATTTCAAACCATTACTGTAAAATAAATGTTAGATGAATGAACCTGCATATACAGAAACTAGCAACAAAGGCATTCAATGCAATTCAGTATGTTGTGCCCTGAAAACTAGCCTAAAGGTCACATCAATAATAAAAACAAAAATGGAAATGGCATGGAAATTCCGAGGTACAATTCTCGAACATGTTAAAAGTCGTCAAGATGAGCTCACAATAGGTTTTAAAGTCAATCTTTATGTGCCACTGATAATTATTTGTTTACTGTAATCTTTTGCCGTGTTCTCTCTATAATTTTATAACACTGTGAGGCTTTGGTCACTTTTTAGGTTAAAGTTATTTTTCAATTTACAATTTTATTGTCAACATTTTTAATACATCACAATCATAGTCATTACGTAATCACACATTTAAGGTTTAAACGGAATGAGCTTGTCTTGCAGTAATTGTTATTTCTTTGCTGTGTTGGAACACTTAGTACAGTAACAGTGTCAGGAATATGGACTGTCGCTGTCTGTTTTGCTCCCCATGTGCTCCCATTGACCTAGTTTTCCCTTGTGTGTGACATGCCCATATTTGGTTATTTTCCTGTTCCTGTTCCGATTGTGTTTGATTTATCTCAGGTGTGCCTCATTAATTCCCTTGTTTAGTTCAGTATTTAAAGTGTGTTCTGCCCCTTGTTTCCTGTCCAGTGTTATACGTCTTCGTGGAAGTGCTACGTGTGTGTCCTGCCTGTATTACCCCCTTTCTGTGAATTATTAAAGGGGTCATATGATGCTTTTTTAAAGATCATTATTTTGTGTATTTGGTGTAACAGAATATGTTGACATGCTTTAATGTTCAAAAAACACATTATTTTTCAAATACTGTACATTATTGTAGGTCCTCTATGCCCCGCCTCTCTCAAACGCTTCGTTTTCTACAAAGTCCCTCCTTCTGACAAGCGCAGTCTGCTCTGATTGGCCAGCTGACCCAGTGCATTGTGATTGGCCGAACACCACAAGTACGCGTCGGAAATGTAACGCCCCCGTTCTGTGGATTATTAAAAACTGTGGATGGTACTCTCCTGCGTTCTCCTCGTTCCTCGTTTCCTCTCCGTAGGCAGTTGTGACAAACAGAAGAAATGCTGTTTTTGAATTGATTTTATGACTTAGGCCTCAAGTAGATATGTATAGAATTTTCTTTCTTTCTTTCTTGTAAAGTATGCAAATATCAAAGAATGAACGTGTCTGTAATCTACAATTCACAACAATAGTGGAATTTGCCTTTAACTGAAAAATTATTTGTCATATTTGGGAAAAGTGCTTGTGGCAACTGTCTTCTGTGAACAACGGTTTTGTGAACACCGGCCTCAGTACAATGGAGGTGAGGTATTTCATTTTTAAACTGTTATACAGCAGTGGAGCAGTTTTGGCTCAAACATGTGCTACACTTTATTTACAATTTCAAATAATTTCTTGCGGATGCAGTACACCTGTAAGCATTGCGTTTCTTTTTTTTTTTGCAGATCTAGAGAACACTTCACACCCTACAACCCCTAAAAATGTATGTTGCTACCTTAAATGTTTAAAATATTTTTTTATCATATTTAATAATATTTAAAATAAACCGTGTCAATTACTTCTTTATTGACACTTTGACAAACATATTTGTACCGTAATTTTTGAATGTCTTAAACTTTGATTTTCTTTTCATACTTCTAGAACCCAGATTTGACAGAACTGCACACCCATCTGAGGCCTACCTGCTTTACTTTGTGATTACCCCAGATACTTCAACAACTAACCTGCTTTGTAAGTTCTCATAGTTACACCTTAAAGAAGCACATAATTTTGGGAACATTTCCTGTGTATTTGCTGGTATATTACTGAGATACTTTTTATAAAGATTAATGTTGATTATATACCTACCCAGGTGAAAAAGAAATATATTTAAATTGTGCTTTTTCAGACATACTTACTATATTTAAATTATACTATACTAAGTGCATATTAAATGTATTATTTTGAAACAACTTTAAGTATATTAAGTGTATTTCAAGATATGTTTAAGTTGGATTTTAATATATTTGTAATATATTTAATATATTGAAATTGTGTTAAATTGGAACCACTTTAAGTATATTTAGTGCAATTTAAGTGTATTTGTTAAAATACATTTAAAATGTCCTTTTAATACTTCATGAACTACAGTTAAGAGTATATTTGAAGCATCGTTTTAATGTACTTCAAGTACATTTCAATTGTATTTCAGCTCATTGGAAATGCATTAGCATTACACTACTAGTATATTATAAAGCTGCTTTTTTCAGTATATACACACACGTACACACTTTGATATAGAAAACTTTAATGTATTATATATTGTTGTGTACATTACAAATATTCATAAAGTAAACTAAAAAAGGCCAGCAGCATATTTACTTCGGTGAAAAACAAAACAAAACATACTATTAAATGTATTAAAAATGCACTTGAAATGTATGTTTTGAAACAAGTATGTGTTTTGATTTTTAATACATTTAATACTACGTCTTTTTCACCTGGGATGACAAGTTGACTGTATGTATACATTTGTGAGACTTTAGAGTAAACAAGTAGCATAGCACAGTTTTTGTTGCGAAATTTTTAATCCGACTATATTAACTCTCTCTTTGGTTTCTTTTTTAATAACCCTTTTTCATTATACCTTTTTCATCAAAATTAATGATGTAAATGTATTAATACATAATAAATGTATCAAAAAAAAGCATGTTGGGAA